TCTCTCTCTCTCTCTCTCTCTCTCTCTCTCTCTCTCTCTCTCTCTCTCTCTCTCTCTCTCTCTCTCTCTCTCTCTCTCTCTCTCTCTCTCTCTCTCTCTCTCTCTCCTCTCTCCTGCATAACTATCATTCTGTATATCTGAAGGCTGGTCATCAACTGTCTGTCTGTGCAAGCACATAGCTAGCTTTGCATGGCACTGAGCAGCCAAGATTGCGGCATCCTCGCCCACGGGCTCCACGAGCGCATACAGACACTCTGCTAATAGTAGCATGCGTGTGTGTGTGTGTCCGTGTGGCGAGGCAATGGGAGGCGAGGTGAGGCGGGGCGGAGCCGCACTGGTTGGGTATATTACCCAAACAGTCGGTCCTGGCAAGCCAAGACAGCACCCTACTCTGCCCGTGGCCTTCTTGCATTGTGCTTGCCGTCTGACAATCTTCCAAGCTGCCAACTAACCAACTAACTATGTAACCATGTTAACTGTTATCAGTTTGGCGACAATGTCATGTCATTCGTTGACCATACACCATTCTGCCACCCCCCCCCCCCCCCCCCAGCTGCGTTTTAAACATCTTTTTTTTAAATAAATTTGCTACAGTGTTATCCGTTGACGAGCAGTGAACCTTTGCGCTTGGCAAGCTGTTGTTGCTTTACTTGCCAGGCCCATGTGTATGCCATCATGCGCCTTTGCTCTATAGCGTATCTTCCCCTGGAGATAAGCAACAATGCTGTCTGCTGTGCCTGTCCACGCCGCGCCACTCTTACGTTGTTTCCGGCAGTTTGTGTGCACCTTTGACTGATTAAAGTCTTACTGGTGCACACACACGCACGCACACGCTCGCACATGCACACACACAGTGACGCAGAAACGCGGGTACGCCTGCACAGCAGCGCCAGCAGCAGCGCAAGCACCATCGTCATCACCAAGGGACCACTCTGTCATTGCCCCCGGTCCGCCATTATCTGATTAATTTGCTGCATGCTTGCCTGCTGTCTGCTGCTTCTCTAACGAAACTCAACGGCCTTATCATTCTCCCAAGGTCATCATCGTATCCTGATTACGTCATCGCCGTATCATGATTACGCCATCGCTGTATCCTGATTACGACGTAACGCACTTGCTGATATTTATTTTTTGTTGATGTGGCCCAGTATTCTTCCTGCCTCTCACGCTTGGCTTTATCTCATCTCGTCTGTTCCGATTATACCGTCTGTTCCGATTACTGTATACCGTCTGTTCTGAATATACCGGTGCGCCCTCTTAACTCCGCATGATGTGTTTGCCGTGTATCGTATCTGCCCTGTGACTTGGCCCGCGTGCCATGCTTTCCACCATTCTTCTCCACTTTCTTTCTGCTGCGCAGCTATCCGTGGACTGTGCGCGTGCATGCGTGGGCACGGGTGTGTGTGTGTGTGAGAGAGAGAGAGAGGGGGGGGGGGGGAGAGGGAGGGAGAGAGGGAGAGAGAGAGAGGGAGAGAGAGAGAGAGATTGCTGACCAGGCGATGAAATATTAAAAAAACTCATAAAAACCAAGTCGATACTTCTGGTGAAGCCGGACAAGTATATCATGTGGCGCTTGATCTATTCGCTGACACAGGCGTTGGTGTGTGGATGGATGGCTGTCGTCATCTTGGCGCAGCCCTTGGCACTGCTCCGTTCGTCAGAGAATACCTGACTGACAGAGTGAGTGGATTCCTCCCACAGGTGAACAAGTTGAGTGAGTTTGCTGAGTCACAGCCGCAGGCAGCCTACCATGCTTTGGTGAATGGGCTGCAGAGTAAATGGACGTTTCTTTGCCGGATGGTGGAGGGTGCTGCAGAAGCCCTCAAGCCATTGGAGGAGGCTATTCATCGCAAGCTCCTCCCAATGGTAACTGGATACCACCCTAATGAAATGGAGAAGAAAATGTTGTTGGTGTTGTTGTTGTTGTTGTTGTTGTTTCAAATCTTTATTCTCACGATAGCCAGTGGCCAATAAGTATATGTTATCGCATGGTTGCTGCGGGCCTTATGGCATATTATTGCCCCTCGAGGTTAGCCCTCGGGCCGTAGGCTTTGGACGCGGGCGTTGGACTGATTTATTGCCCGCTCATACAGACCAGTGATTGGCACGATCCAAGGAAACACTCACGTGACATGTGATAAGAGATAATAGTGTAAGAAAGGAGAAAGAGTGAGGAAGAATTGGGTGGGCAGAGCCTAGGGGTTAATGACTACTTAAGTGTACGGGCAGGGGTGGTCGCTGCACTGTTGTTGTTGTTGTTGTTGTTGTTGTTGTTGTTGTTTAATTATTTTACATCGCAAACGGGCAGTTCTGCCAAAATGGTTTCCTTCCTTTGCCGACATGGTGGCTTGGGCATTGTAGTCCCCACCACACTGTCACTCACATACAAATACCGTCATAAAATATAAAACACAAGATTTTCTCATCTTTTTCTATTTCTTGTTTTTCATTAGCTTTAGCATGTTCATTCACATCCTTCATCATTTGTGAGAACTAGACCTGGTCTAGTGAGAAGGCATTCTACTGCCTGTAATTCTGGTGAAGTAATAAAGTAACAAAAACAACAACAACTCTAAACCACCAGTACACAGCACCGAAGACCATTGGCATTACTGCACCTCTGGTGGAACGCATCTGTTCTCAGGCTCCCCTTGGCGACTCGTTGGATTGTGTTCGTTCCGCGAAGCGCAAGTTGTCGGCAGCAAACAGACGTTCTACGAAGAGCAAAGTGCTTGATTCCTTGCGGCGGCGCCGGCAGAACTTTCCTACTCTGGCCTCCCAGCCTGGAGCGTCCAGTTGGCTGACCTGCCGGCCCATGAAGCGCCACGGATTCGCTCTGACCAAGGGTGAGTTCCGGGATGGCATTGCCCTTCGGTATGGCTGGCCATTGACCGGTCTTCCCAGTAGCTGTGCCTGTGGGGCCAGTTTTGATCTGTGCCACGCCTTATCTTGCCCAAAGGGTGGCTTTCCAACATCACAATGCCACAATGAGGTACGTGAGGTCATGCCCACCATCCTCCGGAGAGTGGCAAACAACGAAACGGTGGAGCCTCATCTTCAGCCAATCACTGGTGAGCGGCTTCGTCATCAGATGGCAATATCTACTGACCAGGTACGGCTTGACATCGAGGCAGGCCGGGTGTGGGGCAGACGGTTTGAACGCTGCTTTTTTGATGTAAGGGTATTCAACCCATATGCAGCTTCGAACCGGTCGGCCCACATCCAACCTGCTTTCAACAAGCACGATGCCGAGAAGCGACGCCACTATGCTGAACGAGTGCGAGAGGTGGAGATGTCGGGTTTCACTCCACTTGTCCTGGCAACAACTGGTGCCAGTGGTGGTATGGGCAGTGCTGCTACTGCCTTCTATCGGCGGCTGGCTGTCCTCATGGCGGAGCGTGGATCGGTTGGGTATCATACCAATATCTCGCTTATCCGGAGCCGTCTGGCCTTTGCTCTACTGCGTGCTAATATCATGTGACTGCGGGAGACTCGCTCATCATTCCCCTGACATAGGGGGAATGATGACGCCTCTCCAGATGTTCCTGTTTCCGAAGCCCGGCTTGTTGGCAACTAGCTAACACGGGTAATGGATACTGACCGATCAACAGAGACTATCTTAAAAATGGAGTTGTCATTGTGTGCAGATTGTAAAGTTTCATTTTATTTTTATTTAAACATTTTGTTTGTTTTGTTTTACTTTTTCTTTAGTTGTTGTGTCATATAAGAGGCTTATTCAATCACCTCAGCCAGCGTTCGGCTGCGAACGGCATCCGCCTGCTGCCATAGGATGGTCGGGTGCTAGGGGTATGCGGATAATGCTCGAAAAGGTGACAGATTCTGCTCGAAAAGCAGTGAAATTGGCAGAACCATACAAACCTTATGGCGAGCAATTCCTCGAATTGTGCTCCATTTCCTTATCAACATACCAAACATGCATGAAACTTACCAGAAAAAGTACCGAATTCTGTCAATTTTTCTGCCGGCATTATCATATGCCTATCGGGTGCCCCTAATCCTGCGCATGTCGCTAGGGTTTATTGGGTGTTAGCGGCCGTCGTGAGTTCCCTTCGGGAACGGACACGATAATTTACTTTTTTTTTTTTTAATCCTGCGCATATGCCTATCGGATGCCCCTAATCCTGGCCAGAGGCTGATGCA